GCAAGCACTCTACGCACTGAGCTATATCCCCAGCCCTAAATCTAATAATGTAACTGTACAAGCCTCCCTCTTCCGAATCATACAACTGTTGCCAAAGCAGTACAATCTCACAATCTCAATGCATTGGAGTACACATTTTTGAAATTATTATTATACTTGATAAATAATGGAATTGTATTATATCCTGTATCCTTTCCTAAAATATTCAGTACAGTGTTTTTTTTTTTTTTTTTTTTTTGGTGTTTTTGTTTTTTCCTTATAGTTGGACACAACACCTTAATTTCATTTATTTTTATGTGCTCCTGAGGATCAAACCCAGGGCCCCCACACGAACTAGGTGGGTGCTCTGCCACTGAGCCACAACTCCAGCCCCCAGTATGGTATTTTGAGGTGAAATGTATTCGGTCCAGAGAGCTATAATTTCTAGAGAGTGGTTGAAACTTCAGGTTGTTCTGTTTGTATATCATGTTTATTTTTCTAGATGGAAGTAAGTTTAGTAGCAATGCTAAAAGCTCTTATTTGGAACTTTTATTTCTTAATGCTAAAAGCTCTGGCTTTCTAGAATTACAAAGTTTATTTACATTTTGTAAATAGAATTTTACAGTCTATTCTACTCATAATTTAAGAATGAAATTAGCTACATTCTACTGATTTAGGATTAATCTTGGGCAGCATTTTCTCCACCTGTGCTTCTGAGGATTGAGCTCATGGCCCTGAGTGTGCTAGGAAAACATTCCACTGAGCTATGTCCCCAGCCCTCCCACTCCTCATGCACTGTCTGTTTTAGCTAAACATCAATCAAAGGAGATGGACCACTTTACAGATGACAGTCTTGTGACTCACAGAGGTGACCTCTCCAGTGGTTCACAGAGAGTAGGTGAAACAGCTCTTATTATATGTATATAATTTAATGACACCTTGGTTTTGTTCTTGTTGGGGCTCTGAAAATGATGCCCCAAAGTGAAGGCCTCAGAAATAAGCCTAAGGAAAGCAGTCAGTCTGTGACCTTTTCTTGTCCTTCTGGCTCCTGTTTCCCAAGGCAAGACATAGAAACTAGTTTTTCTTCCTCAAGGCAGGTCCTAGAGACCTGAACCCCTTCTCCATAAGCAAGCTACAAAACCTGAACATGTTGCTCTCACTTCCTCTGCCTTTCTGTGTAAGAATTGGCCATAAGGAAATTCTCTGACCTGCCTGAGTGTAGATCATAAGCCCCTTCATTCCAAAAAGGGTCCTGCCCCATACCTAGCCAGAATGCTACAACTGAAGGGCCAAGAGAAATCTGAACACACAAGCCTGTCTGGGTATGCTGCCATGTCTTTTACTTTTAGGTCATACCCTTTTTGTCCAATCATATTTCTGCATGGCTGTCCCTGCTTAGTGGAACTTAAGCATGAAAATGAATAGTTCATATGGCCTTTGGGTCTTTTATCTGAAGGCTTCCATGTCACATAAAACTGGGATTAAATAAATTTGTTATGCTTTTTCTCTTGTTAATCTATCTTTTGTTATACTGGTGTTGGCCATGATCCTTTATGATAAGAGGAAAAGAGATCGTCCTGCTTTTTTATTCTAAAAGATGTAAGAATGGCCAGGTGCAATGGCACACACTTGTAATCCCAGCAGTTTGGGAAGCTGAGGCAGGAGGATTGCTTGTTCAAGCCAGCCTCAGCAACGGTGAGGTACTAAGCAACTCACTGTCTCTAAATAAAATACAAAATATGGCCAGTGTAGGGGCTCACTGGTTGAGTGCCCCTGAATTCAATCCTGGGTACAAAAAAAAAAAAAAAAAGAGTTGCAAGAATGGCCTTTCTGCTGAGTCTCTCAGTCTGTAAGGCTTGAGTATATCCACTAAATTGTGGCCTGTGACAATAAGTAATCTGACAATTACACCTGCAAAGCCCTTAAATATAAAGCAAAGCCCTGCGATTCTCCCTGTGGTTGCTCTTGGGCTTGTCTCCAACCTTGATTGTGGTAGTATATCATACACTTCATTTTGTTAATGTGTTTCTCTAATATGCAGACAAATTATAGAACTTTTCTAAAGCTGTGGATATGCCCTCCATTATAAAGATGATACACATGTTTATTATAGAATTTTTAGGGAAGTATATTGAAGAAAATTAAAATTGCTCCTAATTTGATTACTTAGACTAGTGTATTCCCTGTTGTGTTACGTAAACATGGAGTTGGATTGATTATCATTTCCTGTTTTTTGCATATTTAAGTTTTTCTACAGATGGAGTACTAGAGATATTAAGTGTAACTGCTTATTTTATGTATAATTCTTCTTGGATATCAGAGGTGGCTGCAGCTTTTAGTGCAGAGAAATGAGTGCAATTAAATAGAAAGCTAGTGGAAATGTAGAAAGAGATGCCTTTCCTTTTTTTCTGTTCCTTTATGAATGATACACAGTCATTTATTTTATTTTTTTAATTAAAAAAATTTTTTTTTGTTTTAGGTGTACACAGTATCTTTATTTTTATGTGGTGCTGAGGATCGAACCCAGTGCCTCACCCATGCCAGGCCAGCTCGCTACCCCTTGAGCCACATTCAGCCTTTCATTTCTTAAATATAAAAAAAGCTTCTGTAATGTTTTGTGAAAACTACCTTTGTTTATAGATCTAAAGGCATTTCATATTTCTTTAGGAATCAGCTCCTAGATGTTGGAATTTTGTGTCAAAGCTCATGATGAACATGGCTGGGTTGTTTTCTTCCTGTAATGTTGTACTCATGATCATCAGCAGCATGTGAGAGTTCAGGAACATACAACATACCCTGAGCTGCACTGAGCACTTTTTTTTKTGTGTGTGTGTGTGGTGAGGGGATTCAACCCAAGGGCTTTTGTATACTATGCACATCCTCTGCCACTGAGCCATACAGTAAGCACAATCTTTAAATATGCAACATTTTCTTACCTAATATTATTAGAGAGATTGGAACTTTTATTTCTTAAATTTCATAGTTTGTTTCTTATAAGTGGCTTATTTACTTTGTTCATTTTCTGTAAGAACTAGTGATTTTCAGCTGGGTTTGGTGGCGCATGCCTGTAATCCCAGCAGTTTGGGAAGCTGAGGCAGGAGGATCACAAGTTCAAGGCTGGCCTAAGTAACTTAGTGAGACTCTCAGCAATGTAGCAAGACTCTGTCTCAAAATAAATGAAAAGAGCTGGGGATGTAGCTCAGTGGTAGAGTACCCCCAGGTTTAATTCCCAGTATCCCACTCCCACTAAAAAGTGATTTTCTTCTTAGTTTATATGATAGATTATATCTACTAGGATAGATATAATCTTTGGTCAAGGGTTTTGTTAGGACTAGCTGATGACTATAAAACATAGTTATGAATCAGATTTTCTGGTATCAACTAGCCCAGGAGCTTCCCCSCCCAACCCAGGCTTAATTATATGTTGGTTAGTCATAGCCTAATTAGTTCAGGTTTTGTGTAATCTTTTGGATGATTTGGATTACATTTTTCCTTCTCTTTTGGATAAGATTAAGAAAGTGTTTTATTTTTCCCTAGAGAGAATCCATGATGTAAATCATTCACCAGCAAACTTTAGGGTCAGAGTGAGAAGGCATCCGGAGCACCATGGCCTGGCCGAGTGTTTTCCAAAGAGGGACTGTGCTCTCGCGGTTCAGCCATCACCATGTGGTTGTATTCCTGCTCACCTTCTTCAGGTAGAGACTTGCCGAAGCTCTTCTCTTGGTTTATTTGTTTTGTCTTTTGAGGGAGGGGTCTAATTCACTGATTGTTATAGGCCTCTAATGAAATAGACTAGTTTTCCTTTTGGAATTAAAAAATGTGTAATTTAACCTTCATATTTCAACTTTTTTTTTTTTTAAAGAGAGAGTGATAGAGGGAGAGAGAGAGAATTTTTTAATGTTTATTTTTTAGTTATTGGCGGACACAACATCTTTGTTTGTATGTGGTGCTGAGGATCGAACCCGGGCMGCACGCAYGCCAGACGAGCGCGCTACCGCTTGAGCCACATCCCCAGCCCCATATTTCAACTTTTAAATTTTAATTAATTAGTTTTTTTAAAACATTTATTTTTTAGGTGTAGATGGACACAACCCAATGCATTTATTTTTTTTTTTTATGTGGTGCTGAGGATTGAACCTGGGTCCCACCCATGCTAGGCGAGCCACAATCCCAGCCCTTAATTAATTAGTTTTTTAAAAATATACTTTTTAAGACTTTATTTTGTTTATTTTTTTAATATGGTTCTGAGGATCAAACCCAGTGCCTTGCACGTGGCAAGGCAGGTGCTCTACCACTGAGCCACAACCCCAGCCCTGATTAATTAGTTTTTGACAATGTTGAGGACTGAACCCAAGGCCTTGTGCATGCCAAGCATGCATTCTGCTACTGCACCACATGCCTAGCCCTGTTAATGCTTTTGGAGAGCCCTAGTATAGTGGTTCTCAGGAATCATTTTGCCTTCCAGGAGACATTTGACAATGTTGGGAAACATTTTCAGTTGTCTCCATGGAGTAAGGGGTGCTGTTTGCATCTAGTGGTGGGGGCTAGGAATGCTGCCAAAACACCCATGCACAGGATAGCTCCCACAGCCAAGAATTTTTTGCCACAAAATGTTAATAGTGTGGAAGCTGAGAAACCCTGGTCTAACATGAAGTGTTCTATTGGTCGAAATCAGGGGGTTGAGAACAAAGTCTATGCGTACTCACGGGTTGTGCTGTGCCTCCTTGAGCACTGAAGATGGTGTGAGACATTGGAGGAGCTCTGGTTAACTCCTGTGAGTCTCGCYGTTAGCAGCACCCATGTAGTCAGCGCAACCCAAATCCATGTTCATGATTCTGTAGCCCTAAGTGGTTCTCTTTAGTAACATAATGTAAACCATACACCAAAAGAATATTTAAAAATCCACAAAAACGTATATAAGATTATTTATTTTTGTGTTAGGCACATGTTATATAACTCTATTACTGAACTGTTGTGATATTTCTTCTGCACGGGTTTGTTATTAATCTTTATTGAAGGTACCACAAATGATCATTTGTTTTCCTCCTGCCTGCCTTTCTTTTTTTTTGGGGGGGGGTACTAGGGATTAAGCTGAGGGGCACTCATCCACTGAGCCACATCCTGGCCCTATTTTGTATTTTATTTAGAGACAGGGTCTCACTGAGTTTCTTAAGGCCTTGCTTTTGCTGAGGCTGGCTTTGAACTCTGCAATCCTCCTGCCTCAGCCTCCTGGCCACTGGCCACTGGGTTTACAGGCATGGGCCACTGCACCTGGCTCTTTCTTCCTTCCTTCCTTTCTTCCCTCCCCTCCCCTCCACTCCCCTCCCCTCCCCTCTCTTCTCCTTTCCTTTTTTCAGTTTAAATTCAGGTCCTCACACATGCCGTGCAAGCACTCTACCCTGAACTATATCTTCAGCCCTTTCTTTAAAGGCAGAAACTAAGAAAGTGGTCTTCCAATTAAGTGAAAGTAAATAGGTCATTTGGATGCTTGGTTTGGGGGCTATTTGTGAGGGGTATGAGGCATCAATCTGAGGAAAAGACATGGATCCAAGGAAAAAACTGAATTGCTGATGCAGTGAGTGCCCTTTGTGTGCTAAAGATTAATTTTTTTTTTTTTTTTTTTGTGATGCTGGGGATCAAACCCAGGGCTTGGAGCTGCTGCCAGGCAAGCACTCTACCATTGAGCCACATCCCCTGCCCTGAAGGTGTAAAATTCTTTACAGAATTCCATTCATGACTTAAAGTGGGTTGGGATCAGATACATATCCATCTTCTAGTTTGCAGTATCTGATATGCATGAGCAGGGACTCATAATGAAGATGACTAGTTATTTTTATTGCATCAATTCATAGTTCCTATAGAACAGTACTTATTTTTTTTTCTTTTGAGAGAAGAATTCTAAAATTGAGTAGAGACAAATGGGCATATATCTGTGATTTTATTGACTTCTGTTTTCTTTGCTACTGATTCATCTGTAGTTTTTCTCTATTTTGTAGTTATTCGTTGCTCCATGCTTCAAGAAAAACATTTAGCAATGTCAAAGTTAGTATCTCCAAGCAGTGGACCCCAAATGCTTTTAACACAACACTTGAGCTGCCTGTAGAGGTAAGTGGAGCCAGTGCTGGGAGGGACTTAGAGAAGGGACAGAACTTAAGTCTTCTTAAGTTCTCTCTTGCATTGTTTACCTGAAACAGCTTATCCTGTCCTAGGGAGTCCAATCCAAACTGTCTGCTGATTTCAAAGCCTGCTCTGATTGGTCTGTTTTACCAAGCCAACCCTTATCATACGATTCTGGGAAGGCTGTTTTTTTCATTGAGTTTTACAAGTACTGGTTATGTTTCTACTTTTGAGATTTTGCATATTATCTTTTATATATACACTTTACCTTTTCCACCTATTTAGATTTTGCCTTTCTTTCTCTCTCTTTCTTTCTTTCTCTCTTTTCTCTTTCTCTCTCTCTTTCTCTCTCTCTTTCTTTCTTTCTCTCTCTCTCTTTCTCTCTTTCTCTCTCTCTTTTTTTAACATTTCAAATGTTACAAGTTTTATTTACATTAGAAAAAAATCAGGGTACAATTTATTTATTTATTTATTTTTATTGGTTGTTCACAACATTACAAAGCTCTTGACATATCATATTTCATACATTAGCATGAAGTGGGTTATGAACTCCCAATTTTTACCCCAAATGCAGATTGCAGAATCACATCGGTTACACATCCACAATTTTACATAATGTCCTATTAGTAACTGTTGTATTCTGCTACCTTTCCTATCCCCTACTATCCCCCCTCCCCTTCCCCTCACAACCTCTTATATGTAATTTTGTAT